TTCACCGTTACATCCCTTTCTTGTCGTCTACGGGCCAAACTCAAAGACGACGTGTTTAAGCGGGCCGAAGGCCTGCTAAATCGTGTGACAGAAATGGCCGGGCCGCGGGCCCGACCATCGCCGCCGGCAGGCCAAGCAGGCCCGGTCCCTGCCGAACGCGATTAGCGATTAGCGAAGCCTATTACTCCGTCTGGTCGGAAAACACTTTTTTTGTCTGTCTGTCGGTGTGTCTCTGTATCTTTCCGCACGAAAACTCGAAAGCGTATTGAGCGAGTGACCTGGGATTTTCAGGATCGTTTTGTCTCATAACAAGCAGGCCCGCCCTTCCGTCAAACGAAGTTGCCGGCGGAGCGAAGCCGGAGGCCGGAGGCCCGTATCCTTGTGTACATTTTTGCACTACCCGACTCAGGTGTCAGCGCCGCAGGCCAAGGTAGATGTATGCCAGACGCGTCGCAGCGCAACAGTGTTATCGCGAAGCCTATTACGCGAGACGTGGTCTGGCGTAAATCTACCTTGTGTACATCTTCCTTGTTTGCTGAGCGAATAGCGAAGCCTATTACTCTGTCTGATCGGGAAAAACTCTTCCTGTCCGTCTGTCTGTGTATCTGTGTTTCTGTCCGCACGATAACTCGAGAACAAGTTGAGCAAGTGACCTGCGATTTTCAGGGTCGTCTTGTGTTTGGCTGAGCGATTAGCGAAGCCTATTACTACAGTGAAGATCAAAAAGTTTCGCGTCTGTCTGTCTGTGTCTGTCTGTGTGCACGATGACTCGAGAACGAATTGAGCTAGCGACCTGGGATTTTCAGGGTCGTTTTGTTCCATAAAAGGACAGGCTGAGTCCGAAGATGAGCATTCTACCTCCAAAATTTGATTTAAAAAAAATCAAAAACAACGGGTCCCAAAAATGTCATTTTTTAAAAATACTTTTCTTTTTGGTTTCCTAGAGTGTCACCTATCAATGTAGAGCCCTCTGATCGAAAATTGTTTCCTTTTTGCTTTAGTTCGAACCGTTGAGGCGCTAGAGGGTATTTTTGACGAAAATAAGCGAAGAAATGGACAAACCTGCATGCTTTGTCGAGCTGATAGGCCGTTGACGGACCTGGCGAAACCACCGACGTTGTTTCAAGCGGCATAAGGCATACCTTTGTTGGCTGAGCGATTAGCGAAGCCTATTACTCCAGTGATGATCAAAAAGTTTCGCGTCTGTCTGTCTGTCTGTGTGTTTGTCTGTCCGCACGATAACTCGAGAACGAATTGAGCTAGCGACCTGGGATTTTCAGGGTCGCTTTGTGTCATAAAAAGACAGATCGAGTTCGAAGAAGAGCATTCTAGCTCAAAAATTGGATTTTTAAAAAATCGAAAACCACAGG